TTGAGAGTAGAAAAGCATTAAATAAGTTAGTTTCATCCTTAACTGAATTAATTTTGCTTTCTCTTTCATTCCAACATGGTTTGTGAAAAGTGTAAGCAATCCAAATATTGACTGGTGAAGTTTTGACTACAAATCATTTCATCTTCATTGAAAAAAAAAAGTTGTGTTTTTTTTTAATAGAGATTCTGTTTCTCCTACCACGAGTCATATTTTCTCTTCCAATAGCCCTCTTTTCTCCTCAAAGGGAGGGGTAAGCATGACACATGTTTACTGTTTGAGCTACCTTTCTCAACATTTACATTCAGTGCTACAATTTGGACGGCTTCCCAAAAATCAGTTGGAGATGTATGAATTAATTAATTTAAAGTTGTTTAATGAAAAGGGGAAGGAAGCATGATCACATACTTTTCATATCACTTTTCTTGTTCTTGCCAAAGTTTCAGAGGCTCTAATCTTAAAGGAAGTGTTGCTGCTGATAACCTTAGGAAAATATACTGTAGGATATATAGTTATATGCACACGTGTGTACATGCATAACACATATGCAGAAGTAAGCACATACATGAATTTCAACATGTGCTGTGCCTCCATAGCAATGCCCTCCAAAATCTCAGTGTGATGTAAAGGTGACTCTGGGTTCTTGAAGGCTATCTTCATGGAAATGAAGATCTGGGGTCTCCTACCAAGAGGATAAACTTTAAATATAGGTACAAACTTGAATTTCCTGTGCAGAATCCAAGTGACAACCTAAAAAAAGGTTTCAAAAAGGCATAGAGACCATTTGGTTATTGGGAGATGAAAGGCATAGTAACTAATGCTCACCAACACTGACTCGTCACCTGAAGATATGGGCTTATGATCAGTGTAGATGGAGGGAACAAGGAAGGAGGAAATTTCAGAATCTTGCCATACTGACTTACTGACACACATGTAAATATACACAAATGTCCACCCACCCACCCAGAGAGAGTAAGCGGAGTATAAAGTTGGAGGTGCCAGACTTGTAGTCAAAAAGTCCTGCCTCTGACACACGCAGGACAGCCAGCCCCAGGGTGCACCAGGGCATAGAGCGCTGACCCTGGAGTCAGAAGACCTCAGTTTGAACTCTACCTCAGATATTGACTATCTGAGGGTAGTCAATATCTGAGATATTGACTATCTGTGGGGCTTTGGTAAGACAGCAAACATTGCTTAGTCTCTCTTTCTTCCTCTGCAAACTGAAAAGTTAAAATAGAACTCAGCTCACAGGATTTTTGTGAAGATCAAATTGCTAACCTATGTAAAGAGCTTTGAAGGTCTTAAAGCAGTACATAAATACTATTACCATTGCTGGTGTTACTAGTTTCCTTTTGTTTTCTTTCTAATGATTTTATTGCCTAGCTGTGTGATGAGGTATGAGTCACATCAACTATGCTTTCAGCACCTACATCACTGCACTGCTATGAAGATGGAAGGAATGAATGTATCAAAAGTTTTGCTTGATACTAAAGTACTAAATCAGCATCACTTATTATAGAAACATATTTTTTTTACCATAATGTGTGTAAGCATTGGCTGTGATGTCCATGTGGCACATTTTCAAATTTAATGTTCACTCATCGAATAGTTATTTGATGATGCCATATTTGGAAACCAAAATCATTTTAAAGTTATAAGACAAAAAGAAAATTCAATTGATAATTTAAGGCCATCTAATGTGGAGCAAAATTATCCTGTGGAATCAGTTAAGCTTGGAAATTTATGTCTAGAAGCTGCCATGATTTGCTTAGTTGTTATTCAGTTGTTTTTTCAGTTTTGTCTGACTCTTTATGATCCCATTTGAGGTTTTCTTGGCAAAGATACTGGAGTGGCTTGCCATTTCCTTCTCGGCTCATTTTACAGGTGAGGAAACTGAGGTAAGCAGGGTTAATGACTTGTCTAGGGTCACAGAGAGCTAGTAAGTGTTTGAGGCAAAATTTGAACTCAGGAAGATGAGTCTTCCTGACTTCAAGCCTGTCACTGCACCCACTGTGCCACCTAACTGCCAAAGGTGCCATTCCATTCCTTGAAAACCTGATAGATGAAGGGAAAATTCCTTAAAATTGCTCCCAGGAATCCCTGGCTTCCTCCCTAGCACTCCACTTCCTCCAGAAGCAAAGGGTCTATCTCAGTAACCTAGTGAATACACCTGGTGTCCAAACCAGAAAAGCATGGACTTAAATCCCAGGCTTTGATACATAATAGCCATGTGACTTTGGGTAGGTCCCTTAAACTTTCAGTTCCCTGGTCAAAACTCTAAGAATGTAAGTGTTGAGATGGTGCTGACTTGTATTATGGTAGGGAGTTCCTTATAGCAATACTCCAATCAAAAGCCCTAACCCTAAGTTTAGAATGGAAAGGCTGCAGTGTATAGTGGAAATAAGAATGATTTGGGAGTGCAGAAGAGTAGGATCCATGTTCTGTCTCTAAGACATTTGATTGTGTGGCCCTGGGCAAGGCCTTTGAACTCTCAAGGTCCCAAGCAACTCTCTGGGATTTAAGTTATAAATAATCTACTGATCCCTCCACCTATGTACAAGTCCTCCTAAGCTGTGAAATCACAGCTACAGCCCAAACTAGCCCTGCCCCCACTCCTACACCACAGTGAGACTATTCAGCCCAAAAAGGATCATCTCATTTCTGGACAAATGACCTCTTCCCCTCTCGTCTTTCTCTCTCCCTTTCTCATGCATTTTGAGTGAAGCAATTCCTTCGACGACTGACTTGAGCCTTTAATGAGATTCCTGACTGCAAGCAGCTCGATCATTGCTGTTTGGTATTTCCTACTGATGTACTGCTATAGAAATATTACCTTTTGTTAATATAGAAGCATTTTTCTGCCATCACACCCATGAAAGCATTGGCTGAGGGCTATATATACCCCGCTTTCAAGCTTGGTGCTCAAATCATTATGAACACGGTTTCTCTTTTAGAGTCCAAAATCCTTTAGAGTCATCATAAACCTAAGAGCAAACAAATGTGAGTGTAAGGATCTCTTCTCTCTGCCTCTCTCTGTCTCTCTCTGTCTCTGTCTCTCTCTGTGTCTCTGTGTGTGTGTGTGTGTGTGTGTGTGTGTGTCTATCTGTCTCTCTCACTGCAGACAGACATATCTTCACTGATTTAAACTAGAGGGAACAGAGGTAGCCAACAGTTGCTTTGGGAACCAGATGAACTTTCCAAAAGGAGGACCTATAAGGCATGAAAAGTGTCCAGTTTGTCTTCAGTTCCTTGGTCCATACCAGATAGCAGCGATGGCACTGAATGGGCCGAAAGGATCACAGCTTTTCCCAGTTTCCCAATTTATTGCGTCCTCTCCCCCTGTAGGTCTCCAAGATTCCATTGGTGGTGGAGCAGCCCTTCCAAATTGAATCAAGCTTATTAACACCAATGATTGCAACAGTAAAGCTGGGAGATCTGTTCTAAGGTTGCCCTTTACGTCTTGTTGACAGTACGTCCTGACAGTTATCGCTAAGCTGGATAACATTGGCACTCATCTTTCTAACTGAATGCACGTTATGGCAAATTGGATTATGGAAACCTTACAAAATTCAAACATGGAAAGTTGCCTAATTATTAGGTGACTTTATAAATCATAAAAGAGGCACAGGAAATGAAATCCTCCCACCCCTATTGCCAGGGTACACAGTTTTTGTTCGTTCAAAGATTTATTTCCTTGGGAAATCGTATGTCATCTTTAATGAGTGTAGATGGATGGATGTTTTTAACCAAAAGCCTGACATGGTCATAAATGATGTTCCCCACAAAGAATTATTTGTGTATTTTATTGTAGTTCTTGTTTCTCAAGACCATTCATTTCCCCAGGGAAATATAACCATCAGGCTATACTTGACTGCCCAAGGCTAGGTTCTCAAGTTAATCAACTGTCCAATTAATCTTGCCCATAGAAAAATATCAGATGGAACAGAAAATAACTAGAATAGTGAATGATTTCATTTTCTCCTCCCCCACTGCCCCACTGCCAAAAAAGTATTTGACAAATAAATTTAACACTGTTAACCTAATACAAATTTACATCTTCCAGAAGAGAGAGAGAGAGAGAGAGAATCAAAATTTCTCTCATAAAGCTCTACTGGCATTACCCAACATAATCTCAGTTTCAATAACCTCTTGTTTTAGTCCAATTTCCCCCTCCTGATGTATTTCTTCAATGACTATTTCTATTTTGTCACACATTTTCTTGGCATTTTTCTAAAAAATTAAAAAGAGAATGAAATGGAAATAAAAATATTAGAAAAAATGGATCTTGGGCATAAAAATGAAGAATCAGGTGTTTGTGTTTTGCTGTGTTGTGTTTTTTTCCAAAACCACTCTTTGAGGAAGATTTACAGGCTGAATCTTGAAGAAGCCAGCACGTGGAAGATGCCATGATCTGCCTCCCCTCTCTCCCCTTCCTTTGCTCACTGATGCCCAGAGCCCCTCCATCTGCCACCCTCTCCTCTTTGACAGCAGCTCACAGCACATCATTTATGAACAGAATGAGCTCTTGGGTCAACTTTGCTCACATTAAGCTGAGCTCCTCCGCCGACTGTCGCATGGACCATAGATGCATGTGCCAGTGGATTTACAAACGGTAGGGGAGATAAGCGACCACATGTTTGGGAATGATTTTAACCGGTGAATGTTCATGGAGAATGGAAAGGATGGCTTTTCCAGCTTAGTCCCAAATTCTCTGCATTTTTCACTCTGAGCTTTGATTTTGCTTCAGATGTTGGCCTCACTTCCCATCAATTTCTCCAGTTATCACTGAAAACCTCTGTTACTGTGCCCTCCTCAGACATTACAATTAGATTCATTCAATCCAGCAGCCTTACCTAGTAGAGACCATCTTTGATTTCTACAAAACCTAACACCAACAGCATCCTTCCCATAGGGAGAGCTTATCCCTGGGCGTGGGAAGCAGCGGGGGAGGCTTACACATAGTCAGGCTTCATTTTAATGCCGTAGCCAGATTTGGCACTTACCTGAGAAGGGGGCTGTCAGCAGAGGGATTTTGATGGGCGCCAGTGTCAGCAAATGGCATGGCTGCACAGTGGAAGCTGAAGGTCCCCGAAGGCCTTCGGGCTCTACAGAGACCATGGCTGTTGATGTGATGGCAATGGTCGGATGACTGCCAACTTGCTTAAGGCCATTTAGACATCCCGCTGCAGAACATGGACAAACAGAAAAGGCTTGGTTTTAATGGGTGATGGAAAGAAGAAAAAAAAAACATGTCTCTAAGAACATAAAGAGGGCAGCCCTTAAGCTAGAGAAGTTACCTGGGACACACTTGGTGTTATACACACATTTAGTGACTTAGACCTGGGAGATAATACGCAGGCCATCCAGGCCAAAAGGCTTATTTTATGGATGAAGAATGACTTGCCCACAGTCAAACACTGACAGAATGGCAGTTACTGGTGATTTGCCCATGGCAAATACTGACAGAAATGGACTTTGGATCCTGCCCTTCAGACGATCAGGACGGTGCTCTAGTCTATGTACTCTGCTTTCTCTGAAGACACGTGATTTACTCAGTCAACAAAAATTTGTTCATCTGAATTAGAATATGAAGAATTATAAAATAACACTTCTTACCTCAAGGCACACTCATGAATTGGGGACAAAGAACAGTTAGTCATGAAGTCACATGTTTTTTAATGACAATAAAAACAATGATCACACATTTCCATAACAAGTTTTTTCATAGCATATACCTCTTAACGACCAGCCCTCTCCTCCCCCCAACCCACCTGTAGGACATTTAAGTATTATTACCTCCAGGTGAAGCTATTTCCTAAGCCTTCATAGCAAGTAAGAATCAAAGTTAGGATTCTGACACAGTTGTATTGACTGTGAGGCATGTACTCTTGCCTTTAACCGAGATCCCATAAAGTAAATGCCAAGAACACTACAAGAAACCCAAGGATGAAGAGCTCAGAGTAGCTGAGGGTGTAGGAGAAGCATCCAGAGAAGGTCAAACTTGAGCAATGCCCAGAAAGCTGAGGACAATGATGGGAATGAAACGCTAGGGAAAGAATTCTATAGTGTACCAAAGATGGGCAGGTGACTGAGAGAATCGAATACCCTTTCCCACATTAAGTGACAAAAAGCTATGTCCTTGGGGCAGCTAGGTGGCACAGTGGATAGAGCACCAGCCTTGCAGTCAGGAGGACCTGAGTTCAAATCCGGCCTCAGACACTTGACACTTGCTAGCTGTGTGACCCTGGGCAAGTCACTTAACCCCACTGCCTATCCAAAAAAGAAAAAAAAAGAAGCTATGTCCTCACTCCTTTGTCAGATGATAACTGTCAATCGACCAATCTGCCAGGTATTGGAAGTGTGAACAAAACCTAGACACCTTTATTGAAACAACCAATTAAAATCTTTGAACTGGGTTAAAAAAATCCTTGCTTTCCTTATAAATCCTTAAAAGTCACTGGATAACATGGAGTGACCTCATACAGGAAGGGTATTCAATTGAACACACAGATAATAAGTATCTGACTTCTTATGTGCAAGACATATGTGGGAGACAGAGTTATGTAAGTTGTGGCTACATGAGATCTCTGTCTTCAAAGGTTTAAATTGATAAGAATCAATAAATTCACATGTAAACAATGTGAGGTAGTGACTGAAAAGGCATGAGAGTGGTACCAAGTGACAGGGATTCAAGTTCTCTCCCTCAGACAGTTTATGAGTATCTGTTACAGGCTGTGAGGATAATTAGGAGGATGAGGAGAAAGAAGAGGAAGAAAAGGACCATTTATGCAGCAAAGTTAAGTCTGTAAAGACTTGAATGAATGAATAGATAGATGGATGAAAAATAATTTGTTGTGTGATTACTATGTTCTAGGCCCCATGTTAAACACTAGGGATACAAATAAAAGCAAAAAACAAACAAAATCAAAACCCACAGTCCTTTCCTTCAAGGACATTACATTTTTTAAAATATGTGTGTGCTTTTGTATGTATAATTTATCTCATTAAATATTTCCCAATTACATGTAAATATTTTAACATTCATTTTTTACAATTTGAGTTCCAAATTATCTCCCTCCCTCCCACAATCCTACCACTCATTGATAAGGCAAGCAATATGTTGCAGATTATCCATGTGAAGTCATGCAAAACATGTTTCCATATTAGCTAACCTCAAAAGAAAACACACCAAAAAAAAAAAGAAAGAAAGAAAAATTAAGGTAAAAAATACGCTTCAATCTGCACTCAGTTTATCAGTTCTCTGTCTCTGGAGGTGGCCAGCATTTTCCATCATGGATCCTTTGGTGTTGTCTTGGGTCATTGTACTGATCAGAGTAGATGTCATTCAAAATTGACCATCCTTAAAATATTACTATTAATGTGTACAGTGTTCTCCTGGTTCTGCTCATTTCATTTTAAATCAATTTATGAAAGTTTCCCCATGGAATCTTCTCAAATGGATAACAAAAAAAAATATTAATTTCTCAGCAACACATGGAACTTTTCAAAAAAATACTTCATATTAGGGCATAGAGACATTGTAGACAAATATAAAAAGCCAGAACTAATCAATATACCCTTTAGAGACTGTGATGCAATAAAAAGGAACCCCCAAAAGACAAAGACCCAAATAGAGATTTAACAAAGAAATCCTAAATAAGGAGTGAATCAAAGAATAAATCATAATGAATTACTAATTATGTGAAAGAAAATTATAATGATGAAACAAGACACCAGCATTTCTGGGATGAAGATACATTTACGTTCCTTCACTCAATAAACTCTTCATTTGGGTTAATATGAAGTTTGGGTTAATGTAGAATGATGCAGTAGGGATTCTTCATGCAATTAACTCTTCCTGAGTGGTTTGTTAGGCTTATCTCTTTGGAGAAGCCCACAATTTCTGTATGGGGGCATGTGATATATTAGGGCTTAATGCCATTAAGAAAATGTCAAAGTTCCAGTGCCAAGATGGTAGAGTGAGGAAGGAGCCCTTGGAAGCCTTCCCCAATTCCCCTCCAAACAACTAGAAAATCATCTCAAAATTAACCTGGGAGCAGAGAAGCAGTTTACCACCTCAGCAAGATTGCCCTGAGGAGGGAAAAGAGCAAGGTCCTGCAGCAGCAGCAGGCCTTCACCTGCCAGGCCCCACCCTCCAGCAAACCAGCAGCCCCCTACACAAGTAAGCAGTTTGTAGAGCACAGCAAGGCCCCAGCCCAGAGACCCTGCCCCAGCCCAGAGACCCTACCCCAGCACAAGGCCTTGACCCCATTGCTAACAATAAAGAATCCCTACCCTGGGGCTTGCCCCAAAGCTATCCTGTTTCCATAGCAACCTAGCAGCAGGGCCCCACCCCTGAGGAAGACCAGCTACTAGGTTCCTCCACCAGGGGTAGCCACCAAAAAGACGGTTACCATAGCAACAGTCCCTGAGGCAGGCCGGCAGTTAACCGTCACACCCAAGGGAGGCCAACAGGAAGGCTCCACCCCCTTCCTAGTACAAGATAGAAGAAAAGCCTGGCTTCCAGTGAAAGCAAGCACCCAAGCCCTGAGCCCCAGCACAAAGAACTTGGGACAGAGCAGGACCAGAGCCCAACTGTGCATTAAAACACCAAGTCACCGAAAAAGACAGAAAAAAAAATTAGCAAAAAAAAAAGAAAAAAAAGAAATTGATTACAGAAAGTCACTATGGTGATAGGGAGAATCAAGGTATAAGATGACTTGGAAGATGACAAAAGTGTCAAAATGGCTACATGTGAAACTTCAAAGAAAAATATAATTTGGATTCAGGCCTAAAAAAAAATTCCTGGAAGGTTTTGTCTTTTTTTAAAGCAAATTACAGAAGTAGAAGATAATTTGGGAAAAGAAGTGAGAGTAATGCAAAAGAATCATGAAAAGAGTCAATAGCATGGGAAAAGATATACAAAATTTGCTGAGGAAAATAACTCTAATAAATAGAATTGGCCAAATGGAAAAAGAAGTACAGAAGCTCACTGAAGAAAATAATTCCTTAAAATTAGAACTGAGCAAGTGGAAGCTAATGACACTCTGAGACATCAAAATATGATAAAACAAAATCAAAAAAAAATTAGAAATAGAAGAAAAAGTGAAATTTCACATTGGAAAAAACAAGTGACCTAGGAAATAGATCCAGGAGAGATAATATAAGAAATATGGGACTATCTGAAAGCCATGATCAAAAAAACAAAACAAAACAAAAATACAAAAAAACCCGGACAACATCTTTCAAGAAATCATTAAAAAAAAAACAAAAAAACCTGCCCTGATATATTAGAACCAGAGTGCAAAACAGAAATTGAAAGAATCCACTGATCATCGCCTGAAAGAGATCCCAAAATAAAAACTCCCAGGGACATCATAGCAAAATTGAAGAGCTCACAGATCAAAGAAAAAGTGCTTCAAGCAGCCAAAAAGAAACAATTCAAGTATCACTACAGTCAGGATTATACAGGATTTGGCACCTTATGCATTAAAGAACTGAAGAGTTTGGAATATAATGTACCAGAAGACAAAGGAATTAGGAATACAACCATGAATCACCTACCCAACAAAATTGAATACAATCTTTCAGGGGGAATAAGTGGCTATTTAATGAAATAGACTTTCAAGTATTCTTGATTAAAAGTCCAGAGCTGAATACAAAGTTTCACCTCCAAATACAAGACTCAAGGGAAACATAAAAAGATAAAAAAGAAACAAGAAAAAGAAAACATAATAAATGCAACAAAGCTAAACTGTGTACATTTCTATATGGCAAGACAATACTTGTAACTCGTAAGAACTTATTATATAAGATCAATCAGGAGTATATATAGACAGAGGGTGTGGCTATAAGGTGACTTTGATGGGATGATATTACCCCCCAAAAAAAGAAATGAAACAAAATAAGGACACAAGAAAAATAATTGCACTGCAAGAAGGAGGGGGAAAACAGAATGGGATAAATTATTCCACATAAAAGAGGCATGAAAGAGCTATTATCATGAAGGGGAAGAGGAGGGGGTGGTGGGTAAAGCTTAAGCCTTACTGTCATAAAAATTGGCTCAAAGAGGGAATAACATACACATTCAGTTGGATAAAAATCTATCATACTCTATAAGGAAATAAAAAGAGATAGGGAAAATAGAAGGGGAGGAAGCTGATAAAAGGAAGGGTACATTTGG